AAATTTTTATCGCCTAGGCAACTAGGCGCCCTAGTGTTGCCCAAAATCGCCTAGACGCCTTGAAACTATGTTGACATCCATGCTCAGCTTGAGGGGGAATGTAGAGAGACTAGGCCAAATGGGCTCTAGTGTCTATTTTATGTTTCAGTAGTAGGTTATTTATTTTGTATGCTAATGGACCTGTTAACTTCTTTTAAGTTATTTTAAGTTTATGCTTAGCTGGATGCCCCACTTAAGGGCTGATTTGTAATTAACCACATTAGTGAAGATTAATAAAAGGATTAGTGAGGGTAGAGAGGTGATTAATCGAACCCTCAACCCTCTTCTTCTTCTCCATCTCCTTCTTCCATTCTGTTCTTTTCTTCTTCCTTTCTCACTTTTTACTTCTTTAATCAAGCTTCTTATCAGATTTACTTCTAAAGTAATTCATTTGAGGACAAAAAGAGAGAAGAGAAAAATTAAGGGATCGCGGGGTTCCTCCTAGCGACTCCCATCTTTTATACTTTAATGTAATGAAGGGAGAAATTACAAAGATTGCCCCTACATGGGTGGCAGTAGTTATAATGTCTCATAAGTTGGCTTAATAGGTAAAAGAAACATAACAGGCTCATAAAACTCACTTCTCTGTACAATCCCCTTCAAGCTGAGCATAGATGTCAATCATGCCCAGATTGCCAAGAGTTAAACTAAAGAGCTGTCTTAGAAACCCCTTCATGAAAATGTCTGCCCATTGTTGATCAGTTTTCACAAAGGGAATACAAGCATCACCAAGAACAACCTTCTCATTTATGAAGTGTAAATCCACATCTATATGTTTGGTTCAGTCATGATTTATTGGGTCATGAACAATGTTAATTGCAGGCTTATTGTCACAGTATAGCAGCAAAGGCAACTGAATTACAACACCCAACACTTCCAACAAGGACTTAAACCATAAAGCCTCAGATAACATATGTGCCATGGTTTGATACTTTCACCCAACTAAGGTACAGTAACCTAATGTAGATCTTCTATCATCTAGGGACCCAACCTGGTTGGCATCCGTATAAATCTCCACATTCATATGATCATGCTTCTTGTACAAAATACCTATGCCTGGGTTCTTGTTTAGATAAGCAAGAATACAATTTACTACAGCCAAATGTAATGAATGAGGACCATGCATATATTGACCACACTAAATGCATAAGAAATGTTTGGTCGACTCATGCATAGGTAGAGCAACCTCCCTAGAAGTCATTGGTACATGGAACGATCCCTTGCTCCCCCTTAGTAGCACACAACTTATAATTAGGTATATCTGCAAGTTTCACTCGAAGTTTTCCTGTTTCCTTGAACAAAGTCCAACACATACTTCCCGTAGGAAATGTAATATCATGCTTGGTCCTGCTACCTCAATACCTAGGAAATATCTCAACTCACCTAGGTCTTTAATCTCAAAGTCAGAAGCTAAAAATATCTTAAGATGTGCAATACCATCTATATCACTACATATCACCACAATGTCATCAACATAGACAATAAGAGTAGTAATCAACTAACCCATCTTCTTCATAAATAATGTGTGGTCAGATTGAGGCTACTAAAACCGATCCTTTGTAATGCTTTTTTGAACCAATCAAACCAAGCATGAAGGGACTTCTTTAAGCCATATAAAGACTTCTTAATTTTGCTTACTTTATCATTGTGCTCCCCACTATAAAACCCTGGAGTTACCGCCATATACACTTTATTACTAAGATCACCATTTAAGAAGGAACTTTTTACATCAACTGAAGCAATGGTCAATCATACTGAACTGCCAAGGACAAAAGTACAGGGACTGATAGCATTTTGGCAACAGGACTACAGGAGAGAATGTCTCCTCATAATCTACACCTTAAGTCTATGTGTATCCCTTTATGGATCCTGGTACTCAGCTTCCTACTATTATTCTTCTCTATACAAATAATATAAGTGCTATCAAGATTGCATCTAGCCTTGTCTTCCATGAGAGGACTAAGCACATCGAGGTGGAGTACTACTTTATCTGACATCTTTTCAGTACTGAATCTATATTGCTTCCCCATGTATCCTTGGACATGCATATTGCTGATATGCTCACCATGGCTATGACTAAAGCTCAAAACATCTTTCTTATAAGCAAACTAATGCTTATGTCCATGCAACAATTTGAGTGGGAGTGTGGAGATTCTAACTTATATCTTACTACTATAGTCCCTGTTGCACATTACTTGTATTCTTTATTCTTTTTTCTCTTTCAGCCCTATATGGGGCATTCTCATAATTGTACATATCTTTCAATATATAAGAGGCCCTTTGAAGTTGAGGTCGACTATTCTAGACACCCCTAAGATTATTCGTGTTATCTTCTCTATTCAGCCAAGAGTGTTGACATAGTATCAGAGCAGGTTGCTCTCTGATCTATTTTATCTTCTCTTGATCCTCACTGAAAGTAGTAATCCTATCTTCCTATTAGGATTTACTTCCCTCTCTGTTATGTGAAAGAGATTAGAGCTGTTTCGATCAACCCTAAATGCTGTCCAGTCTACTTTGTGCAACTAGCAGGAGAGATTTTAATAGATCTCTCTTGGGAGATCTTGGATCGAGGCCAACCTTCAGATCTAGTGTCGCCTAGACCTGATCTATTCACCCTACAAACAGCATCTGATTTGGTAAATTTTTTGAAGGAGTGTTCACTTTCCTTTTTTGGACTGCAACACCTTTAGGCTTCATGTCTTTTACACTAGCCTGCAATCTAGGGTTTTCTCTCCAAATTAAAGGGTTCTTTCAAGGATTTTCAACCGCTACACTTGGGGGTCTGGTTTGGAGTTTTTCTTAAGGTTGTTTCTATCAGCACAAGGTACCTCATTTTTCCTAGAAAAAATACCTGATAGGTTGGTAAATCACAGATTTCGCTCAATCGACTGATTCAATCAATCTATAACCCTAGATCTTTTGTTTCCCTGGGGCTTTCTTGCTTCCCATTAAAGTGTTTCAGATTTCAGATTGATATTTAAGGGTTTTTGATCCCTTCTTGGATTTGACGGTCTTGAAACATGCCTTTTTTTTATTGTCAACATCGAGTTCTTGGTTGCTGAAGTTGTTTGTGGTATTTTTTTATGTCCCTTGACTTCCTTTGTTGTTGGAATGCTTCTCTATCCCCTTGGACCAAAGTGGACTGTTGTTAGATCTGGGGATAGAGAAGCATTCCAACAACAGAGGAAGTCAAGGAACATCAAAAAATACCACAAACAACTTCAGCAACCAAGAACTCGATGTTGACAATCCAAAAAAGGCATGTTTCAAGACCGTCTGAATCCAAGAAGGGATAAAAAACCCTTAAATATCAATCTGAAATCTGAAACACTTTAATGGGAAGCAAGAAAGCCCCAGGGAAACAAAAGATCTAGGGTTATAGATTGATTGAATCAGTCGATTTGTGGTTATAGATTGATTGAGTCAGTCGGTTTAATGGTTTTCTCTAATATTTTTGTGCTTGGACTGTTGTTTCTTTGTTGAAATAACCTCTGATAGAGTTGATATTATTCTTGTGAAAGTTGATGGATTAACCTATGGGATTGACACTGCTTTTACAGCACATGGGAGTAAGAAATCTTCTACTAGTGGTGATTCTTTTGTTAAAGGTGATTCTCTGGCATCTATGGTTGAGGAAAACATTCGAGAGCTAGTAACATCTACTATTTCTTCTCCCCTTTCTGCTATTGGATTATCTAATGAGTTCTCCGGTTGTTGTTCTTCTCCTTCTCATGTTTGGATCAACCATATGATAGGAGCCTACCCTAGCTAACCAAGTAATCTTACTAAAACCCATCACAAACATATTTTTACTACTAATGGTGAAAAGTTAAACATCACCGGTAGCAATGTCTATCTCTTAAGATTTCTTCCACTGCGTCATTCCCTCTTAACAAGGCCTTTCTTGTTCCTAACCTCACTACACATCTCATTTCTGGTGGCCAATTAGTTGATGAAGGTAGCATTCTCACCTTTTCCCATGATGGATACTTGATTCGGGACCGGAACACTAGGAAGGTGAAAGGGAAGGGGGCACAAGTTGGACTGTCTGTTTGCATTGGAGTTCGAGAAGTCTCAAACTGCAACATCATTCGCTTATTTTAGTTCCTCTACTTCTAGTTCCTTTCTGAGTCACAAAAATATGTTTGGGACTTACGGAATAAACATTTTGGTTATATACATGCTGAGAAATTAAAGTTTTTGTTTGATTCAAGTTTGATTAAGAATAAAGTTCCTTCATTGCAAACCTTTGATACATCTTGTGTTTCCTGTTGTTTAAGAATTGCAGTTCTTTACCTCACATGTTTGAACTTGCTACCTCTCCCTTTCAGCTTATACATAGTGATGTCTGGACTGCATCCATCACTTCTCAACTTGAATCAAACACTTTGTATTGTTTATTGATGATTGTGCCAAATACATGTGAATATACTTTCTTCGCCACAAGTTAGAAGTGTTCCCAACATTTAGGGTGTTTCATTATATGGTACAGTTTTGGTTTTAATCACGAGTGTGTATTCTCCATTCATATTCAGGGGGAGAATACATTGATGGAAACTTTTCTTCCTCAATTACTTTCTTCTTCCTTCCCTTTCTTCCATATTCTTCCTCAATTACTTTTCTCTCTTCCATCTTCTTCTTTTCTGTTTTTCTTTTCTTTGTTCTTTATTTCAGATTATTGCAGGTGGGATCAACAACTTGAATAAAAAGCAAACAATAAAACAAGCTGTAAATAATGACTAATAAAGACTGTTAACATATTGAATTGCATGATATTGGCATACATCTGACTCAAAGGTGCCCCACATAATATGGTTTAATATTCTAAATCAATGCCTTGAAGAAAGTTCCTTTTATAAACTTCTTGTATGCTTTTATATAGTTAGAGGTTACTAATCAATTGATTGCATTTCTGTAGTCTTTAGTTCCATGGATATTATTGACTCTTTTAACTTTTGCAGGACCGCCATTGTTCTAGGAACAGCTATTCCTCTTCTTCTCTTTCTTTTTTGGGATGCTGTAATTCTTGGAACCATTTCAAATCTGGGTTCAGATAGCTACAAGATCACGGACCCATTAGAACTGTTGCGGTCTGGCAATGGGATTGTTGGAGTAAGTTGTTCAATGGTCATTCTTAAATCTCTTTATTGGAAGTTTAAACAGGATAAGAGAAGAGTGTAAATTGATAGGGAAAGTCTGGTAAATTTGAATTTTCATTTTTTGCAGCCAATTATTGAGGTTTTCTCATTTCTTGCGATTGCAACATCATATATTGGATTTGTTTTGGGTCTTTCCGACTTCCTAGCCGATTGTGAGTGGGCCTCATTCCTTTTTTTAAGGGAAAAAAGTAATATTTATGTGCTTTGGAATAATGTAATTTTTTATTATTCTTCTCCATTACCATGTCCTGTATCCTACAAATACATGACCAACAGACTTATCCAGAAGTACTATCCAATCAAGACTACAAAATTATTTATTATTCTTCTCTACTTTCATATTCTCTATCCTAACCGCATACATGACCAACTGACTTATCCTCAGGGATTATAAAATCAAGATTATAGATCATATTTGCTATCATCCTATGGTTTCACCAATGGAACCCAATCTTGTATTCATGTTCTTTCTGGTGCTTCACTAATGTGGCTTTTTAAACCTTGGGCTATCCTAAAGGACAAAATTTTAGAAAGGGATGCAGTGATAAAATCCCCATTAATTACAGGAATAGAAGCTAAGCATTCTTACAGAACATAATTTGGGTCATGCAAGTGCATCTGAAATCACATCTGAACAAAATACAAATAATTATACATAACCATGCATTTATGTCACAAATCTCAATCATTCTTGCATTCTTTTGGTTTCTTAGTTCTACTGAAATGCATTCCCCTTCTTGAATTTTACTCTTTACCTTGTCATTTTGGTGAATCTCTAGTGTTAAAACTGCCAAGTGGCCAGAGCAAGCCTCTCCCTTACTTGTTGACTTTATTTCCGCCACTAGTTCTGTCACTGCTTGACCCAGAGATATTTTTCAAAGCATTGGATTTTGCAGGGACATATGGAGGTAAGCCATTTTTCTGACAGATCCTTGTTTTATTTATTTGTTGTTGCTGCTGTTTGTATTATGGCTTTTGAAAAGCGACATTCTCAAGTCAATTCAATAATTCCTTATCCCAAACTAATCTGGAGCCTGCATGAACCTGGCTTTGCCTTTCCATTCTGCTTAGGCCCTAAGGCCTATATTTTCTGTTAACTCACAATTTGTCAAGTTCTTTCTCATATTCTAATCTATATGCTTATGGACTTCAACCTTATCCTTTTATAGGGACCTACCCCCCTTTGCAGCACTTTTTAGATGCTTAGTAACAGTAATTTTCTAAGAAGTTCAGACAAAGTTGTGCCTACTGCCTGATTTATCAAAATAGAGAGACTTAGGAGATTTATTATAAATTTTTGCTGTTAGCTGCCCTTGTTGTTACCTACCCCCCTTACTCAACAGTGTCTTTTACATGTGAAGTTACTTTATTTCTGAGCTTGTATCTGATATGGGGCTCTTTCCAATTCATAGTTTTGGTCTTGTTCGGAATTCTTCCTGCTGCCATGGCATGGTCAGATAGGTTCAATGATTCAACCCAGCCTCCAAAGCTACCTTTACTTGTCCCTGGAGGAAGATTCACCCTATCTATCGTAATTGGAGGAGCAGGGTATGTTATTCTCTCAGAAATACTCAAGAACTTGGGAAATCCATGATTACAAAAATTGAAGGTTCTATCTATTGTTGTAAGTTTCAATTGCATGAAAGCTTTTTTTAACTCGAGGAAACAATTGACGGAAAAAGAAATTCAGGAAAAGTTATGAGAATTTGTTTGGTTATGCACATTTTCCCTTTTCACCTCTTGTGGTCTAAAAGATGAGTTGAGTTGAGTCAGTTGAGTTATACAATCAGCTTCAGCTGATCGGTTGAATTTCAAATGCTTCATTAAATATAAAAAAAGGGAAGAAAAAACATTTCAGAATGTGTATACCAAGCCATCCATTGGATTTGCCAGTCGAGAATGCAACTTATCACAAGAAATCCTCCCAAATAGATTACAATTTGGAGTTTGTAATTCACTACTTGCAATTTTGGTGCAAGACCTCGATTGTAGTTTGTATCCAATGTCTTTGAGTAAGAAGGATCACAATAATACCATAAAGTCTGTCTGATAAAATCGAAAACCTAATCTGGTTTCCCGCAACAAGTTATATCTATATCTATAGAAGGGTAGAGAAGTACACAAGGCTCCTGCCAATGTGGGGTCTAGGGAGGGACAGATGTGTGCAGCCTTACCCCTGCACATACAGAGAGGTCTCAAAGATTTGAACCCCGGTCGCCCAAGTTGCAATGGAGAAATCAAGGCGCACCCTCTTATATCTATGTATCTATCAAAGCATTAAGACTGTTGGGATGAAGTCAGCAAATCTATTTAATCAATATTAGGGCTGCTCATGGTTAACCGAACCATGGGTATTTTTTGAACTGAACTGATGCAACCGGCTGTGCCTATATTACGGTTTTTCAGTTTTTCTATACTATAGCTTTGCACTCAAAATTAAAAAAAAAAAAAAAAAAGAAGAATAAATGTCTGAAAGAAATTTCTGAGATTTTGCTAGGCTAGACGGCATTTGTCTAAGACATAGTTGTTAGGCTCTGGTGGTCTTCAATGTCGTGGTCATGGTGTCAATGGAATTGACAATACTTTCTTCAGTCCCTCTTGTTCATATTTAACCTATCTTCTCAGACCAATGGATGTAATCCTTGTCCTAAATCTGCACTAAGATTTGGACTCTCGTGTAGAGGGGAAAGTACTTTTTGTGCTATTTGTCAGTTTGCTCCTTGCCGTACTGCGTACTAGCTATGGAATTTTCGGCATTAATGTACTTTTCTTGGAGGGGCTCGTTCGAATTCTACTTGATGATGAGTAAGCTTGTTGAGGCTCTTCAGTGTCTCCTATTGCTAATGAAGTGCCCAACAAATTGTTTGTTGAATTGCTCCCAAAAACTAATGGATTGAGGTTGAAGCCTTAAATACCACAACCAAGTTGCCTCTTTCAAGGTCGCTCGAAAAACTTGGCACATGTTCACTTTAGAAGCTCCATGTAGGAGCATGAGGGCCTTAAATCTCTCGAACTAGTTAATCGAATCCCCAAAACTGGGCATTTTGATTTTTGGTGGGAGAGGCTCCTCCATGATGTCCAAGGTGAATGGTGGCTCTCTAGAGACTTCAAGATCTACATTCTTGCTTCACTCCACCTCGATTACAACAAGCCTGGCTATCATTTTCCAAATCTACCTATCTTGGTCATGCACTCAATTTTGGGGATTAGGTGAACCTGTCAATAACCTAGCTCGATTCAGCCTTGGAATGACTGGATATAATCAACTTGAAGGGTTGTTCATTCAAACGAATTCTAGGCGGTGCTTGGATGGCAGAATGCCAAGCTTGGTGGTCAGAATGGTGGGCTAGCAAATCAGTTCCACTAGCCTTCCTCTCCTACCCTTGGTTGTTGTCATTTGGAAGGGGTGCAACATTCCTCATCATGGCAATGATGTCCTAGACTTGTCTCTAGAGCATGTTAAAAGACTACCTAATAGGCTGGAGTTAATTCTGAGGTGTCCTTCCAAAAGAGGCATGCTAAGAGTTACAAGATTCTCTCTGAGTGTAGTTCTATGTAGGTTTCGTCTTGGGTAGTGGAATAGGATTTTTGTTTAGGTTTCCACAGACAACACCGGTTGTTGATGCTCGGTCTCTTAACATGGAGTGATTTAGAATTCTTTCCAAACTCAGCTAACTTGTGATCACTAAATAGCACTAGAGACTAGGTCTGTCAATGGGTTAATTCTGCTCGACTGCCCAAACTGGTTATGTTAGTTCTGGTTCCATGATTTTGTCTCAACTAATAATTGGGTTTATTCTAGTTCTTGCCCGTTCTAACCCAATTTAGACTCAAAATTGGTTATTTTATTAAATATATAATATTTTCTTAATTTTATCAGATTTTATGTTTTAGATGGTAAACTTGATAGGTAATATAAGATAATATTAGTTTAATATTTAATTTATTAACATATAAAAAATTTAGGGTCCGTTTGGTTTGCAGACAAGGCCAGAATCGAAATTGGAATCAAAATCCTCTGGAACCGGAATCGGAATCGCCTATTCCTAATGCATGTTTAGTCCAATCAAGAATGGTATTGAATTCTGATTGTTGTTCTTTGGTTCATTCAGAGTTGGAATCGGAATCAACTAGAAATGTTCAAATTTGTATTAGTCTACTTATTATATCATTATTACTTTATTAATATTTTATGACTATATAATTATTATTTTATCAGTACTTTGTTATTATAAATTAATTTATGAATATTTTATTTATCACTATATTTATTAATAATTTATTATTATTAAATAAGTAATATATTATTATGTTATTGTTACTTTAATTATATTATATTAATATCTTATTTGTACTTTATTATTATTATTATTATTATTTAATAACTAATATTTTCATTTTTTTAATTTATTGATATTTTATTTATAACTTATTATTATTACATTTAACAATTAATATCTTTGTTTGTTATTATAGTACTATTATTTTATTACTATTTTACTAATGTCTTGTTAATAGTTTATTAATATTAGGGTTTATGGAGCATTTCGTCATGAGTTCTTTACTTTTTGATAGACTCTGGAATGGAAACCCCATTCCCTAGGAGGCGCAACAATGGGAATCGGAATCCAATTCCTACCAAATAAATGGTAGGAATCGTAATGGGTCATTCCAATTCTGATTCCAGAAACCTATTCCTCAAAACCAAATGGATCCTTAGTATTTTATCATCATTTTTATTAAGGTTATATTATTATTTAAATAAATAAATGTAATTTTCCTTATAATTGGATCTGTCGCTCTAGACTTGATAAACCTAACCATTAATTAGGATAGTTCTGGGTCTATGATTTAGTCCCTGTTAATAATTGGTTAGGAGCTGGAAACACCATGTCCCAACCCAGATCCAGCCCATTAACAACCTTGTCAGAGACTTTAAGACTATGTTTGGTTTGAAAGAAAATGCCGGAAAATGGAAAAGGTAGGAAAATCTTTACAAACTTTGTTTGGTCTCTGAAGAGGATCTTTTGACGATCAAGTCAGTGCAGAGGTGGAATGCATAGCAGGTGAATAGCTCAGTGAATAAATGAGGTATGCCAAGGTGAATAAAAGGCAATGAGTGTTGAGAATAAGGAGAGAGATTCCAGAGAGAGAGACTCTACCTTGGTGAAGGGTGTGGAGTGATTGGCCACTTTGGTCGTTCCAATATCCACACTGGAAACTACCCAATCGTTATTTGACTGATGTATGGTCAACGGCCTGCTGAAGTGAAGCCATTACTGGGTGGTTCGTCGTGGTCAGCAGCTCTGATAAATCTCCATTTATCCTTTTGGCATGGGCCACCTGGCGTGTTCTTACTGGTCGCTTCTTTCTGGCCATATCACCTCTCTAGGAAAAAATAACTTGTAATGCTCTTCTATTCATTCTCCTATGAATCAATGAAGAGATATATATAAGCTACTTCCAAGGTTCAAGGTATCGATACAACATGGAATTTCAGTCATCATTAGTCTAAATAGTCATTTGACATTTGCAGTGACAAATGGTTATGCAAAATAATAATAATAATAATATTTTATTTAATAGAACTCTTGATACACATCTGAGGCTAACCCAAACCCAGCCCAAAGTTTCAGGTTGATAGGGTTGGGGTTCAACAACTCGGGTTGGATTAGGGACAGTTGACCTCAACCCCAATTAATCAAGATCAGATCACCTACCAACAAAACACATTCTAACCCTATACAAACATCATCTCATACATGGCAAGTCCCACTTTTATGGTGAATCCTAATCTCAAGTTGAAATGTACGGTGTAAGATAATGTTGGTAGAGGGTTGAAACGTATTTTGTTGGCAGAAAATCCCAATTCCACTTAACCCGGCTCAATTGGACCCCTAGTATCCTCGAATTAATTAATCCAATCTTATCTTTTTTCCTCCCTGATAGATGTAAAGACGGGTAAGAAAAAGAAACTCCCTTTTCACAAGGTCCCATTAGCTCTCCAACCTGCATTATGCACGAAATCTGCAAATCATACCACCATGCCACGTGCACATCACTGTGGAAATGAATAAAATACGCCCTATATCAGGTACCTCATGACTCATATAAATACCACTAAACCTTGCACAAAGCATTTCCCTTTCCCTATTTTTCTTTCAAACCAAACACAGCACCAAGACTGACATCAACATTGTTTGCAAAATACAAAGCCAAAAACTAATGAAGTGAACCTAAAGGCAAGGTGAAGCAGAATTTGCACTCCCATGCATGTGTTGTTATGTGTACCAGCACAGATGAATTTACACCACACGCAAATGAAAACACAAAGTAGCCTTGCAAATTGCGTATGCGTTTCCAAATTTTGAACCTCGACATGTGCTGTAAGTTGAGAGTAGATAGATCATTAATTGAAAGTGGAGATATGTGTGGTATACTACCATGCCTTCCCTGATATCCAAGTCCTAATTCCTAAACATATTTTAACTAGAATGATGAATCAAGCATGATGCCAATGCCCTATTCTTTTTGCTATTGCCACTCCTTCCCATATTTTCGGTCGTAATTCTGTTCAGGAAGGGAAAGGGAATAGCAAGCGGAGTGATGTTGAAGTTGAACCATTAATGAAATGCTTAAGCAAGAAAAATAAAAGAAATAGAAAGGAAACCAAATATCACCCAGGAACTAAATTCTTTACACTTTTTTAAGCAGCAACAACCATCAACACGGCATAGAATCAACAGCAGCAAATCCAACCTCTTTTATCTGTCCTTTTATCCTTTTTTTTCTATCTTTCAAAGTCCTTCCCCGTCCTACAGAGAAGGGGAAGTAACAAACTCCCTGGGTAGACTAAAAAGATCCTTCCCTGCAAATGGTGATGTCCACTCGTGAGAACCTGCAGAAGATGATGTATCTGTCGCCACCACTCCATCCTGCAATCCCGTGATGCAAACACCACTTGAAGTTGCTGACCTCATTGCAGGCATTGCAGCTGCAGAAGTTGCTGACGACCATGAGTCATACATCCGACTGTTTTTCACAAATGAAGCAAGCCCCAACCACAGCCCATTTGGTCTTGAAGATGTTGACTCCAATGTCCAGTCTATGTTGGTGTAGTCACATTGTGGCATAGAGTCCCCGGTATTCCAATCAACTGGTGAATTTGAACCTGATGCACCTGTTGAGCCCCACCCAGAGAAAAGCCCCAGAGAGGATGGCACAGAAAGAGATGATGAATTCCCTGTGCTGCTCCAAGAACCACCCCAGCCATTTGTTGTGGACTCCATGGGACTGGATGCAAAAGGTTGATACTGAGGTTGGTAGAACTGTTGTGAGCTCATATTGCTCGAACTCAGGCTTGTTGGTGGAATATACGGTAAACTACCGCATGGCTTCATCATTTCCATACCTGCAATACTGTTAGGATACCATCTGGTACTCACAGTAGGGGGCGCATTGATACTTGTGGCTGAGTTCTGCTTTGCATTAGTTGTTTGTGGGCGCTGCATCATGATCACTGGTTCTCTCACTACTCCCGTTTGAAGGTTCTTAACTTCACCTCCAACAACAACATACCGAGTTTCGGTCTTTGTTGGTGGAGGTGCAACTTGGATAGAAGATGCCAAAGAATATGAAACAGAAGGGCTTGACCCCACAGTTGGCCACCTCTTCTCTGCTGGTGCAGCCACTTGCGGCCTTACCCACTCTGATTTTGGCTGGATCCTCCTCAAAGACTGCAAGTTCTTGTTTCCAGATTCAGGAGACACTGCCACCATTGTAGCTGTTGCCTTTGTATAGTTGAAATCTTTTTCATCCCTTCTCTGTTGTATTGTAACAGGAATAGTGGGCTTCGCTCCCTGTCTCATTGGATTGTGGGTGACAGAAACTGCAACCTTACCACTACTGACCACTGGAGGATCTCCAGTTTCTTCTGGCTTCGGCAGAGCAGTAGGTGGATGCTGTTTCTGTGGCTTCAAGGTTTCTGCTGCTTTCTCCAAATCACCTTCACATGCTACGACAACTCTTTCAACCTCCTGCTTTGAGCACTTGAACCTTATCTCCATCTCTGCAATCCGAGCAAGCTCTTCAGCAATATCAATTTTCAAGTTACCCCCACCATCAAGGTTTGAATCCTTATATTGAGCTGCTTCTTCACCTCCCTCAAATAACCATGCAACTGATTCCTCTACCTTGCCTTCATTCAATATAAGAGCCATTGTTGCTCGCTCAGAAGAGAATCCCATAGCCACAAGCTGCTGGGCAAGTGCTTCTAGTTTTCTGGACATGAGATAGCCACTGCACCGCTCATGCAACTCCTGGGCCCTCCTCTCCCTTTGGCGCTGGTGCTTCCTCTCATTCTTCTGTCGGATCTTCTCCCGTTTATCATTGTCTGCACCAGGTATCGTTTCCTGCCGGACAGTACTATTTATCTTTTCTTTTTGTTGATCTTCTGATTCACCAGAGCAACTATCATTATTTGACACAGAATCATATTCTGCCCCAGTCCCAAGAGAGCTCCCAGAATGATCATCTGTCTCATCTATATTTCGGAACCGACCATTACTGTGGGGAGGTGGAGAAGAGACAACTGGTGCTGTCTCAAGGGAATGGAATGTTCCTGAAAGTGGATTGTATGCACTTGCTGGAATGCCATTCCCTGTAGTAGAAGCTGTAGAAGGCTTGGATAAAGCCTTTGGCTGCTCCTTGGCAGCTTTTGCAGAGGACTTGTCCTTAGATTTGGATCTGGAGGCTGGAGACATTTCACTGGTTTCCGAAAGCAGAAGAATCCCTGAAATGTCACAAAGATAAAACGTTTAATTCCTCGGAATATATATCAAAGGATTAAAATCACACAATCAAGTAATAACTTCCCAAGGTTAACATAATGGACAAGAACTTTGTTAATAAAGATTTGCATGCATGCCACAGAGCTTCAGATAAGAAATGAAAGCTATATAACATAATGAGATGTTATAATCATACAATACGTACCAAATGTGAAACTATCAACAGAAACAGATTAATCTCACAATTATTCGACTTATATATTGACTTTCTAAGGTTATATATATATATATATATCAAGGAACTTGGGAGGCACTAGCAAGGGGGTTTATTGCCCAACTATGATAATAGAAGGGCTTCCTTCAAATAAGAACAAAAGGCAATTTATAACATTGCAAGACAAACACTTGTCCATAAGAACAGGAATAGCAAACCGCATGCATATCCATTAGAACTGTTTCTTTGCTTGTTACCCCCATGACTAACAATGGTAGGATATGCCTGACATGAATGAAACAGAAACTTAAATATTTATTGCCCAATACACATATATGCCAAATTGCCAATAAGGCTTAATCCTTTAAAATTTGTAGATTACAGGTTGAAATGCCATTTCCCTACACAATGACACCAACAAACTTAGATCCTTTTTAATCAATAACAATATATAGATCTTCACCTTTTTTATTCAAAAATCTCCATTAAATGGGCAATAACATTGATACTCCACACATCTACAATATTGTCACCAATTCAGGTTATAATACCATATCTTGTACTCAACATAGTGCTAATAGTGTTTACAGGGGAATACGTCGATTCCAGTAAAACTTCATGTTGGTACCCATGGAAATAGAAATGTCATGGAAATATTAGGAAATTCATGAACATTTTAAACCTTCAAGATCTCACGTGATCACTTGAGGTGATACTATACCTATAGTAAAATAAAATGCATATTGAGAAATCACATTGAAACTAAAATTTATTGAACCCAATTCCAGTGCCCACAACAAAAACCTTGCTTCTCCCTCCCTCTCCTCTCAGCTGAGTAGGGGGTACAATGTAAAAGTCCCCCCACCCCTTTCCAAAGTGATCAGATGCCAATAACAAAACTCAGCAATTTATCCTGTTTATTGTGCAACTCTTTAATTCTCTTTTTCCAAAAATTGTAAGGGTACATTTCATTAGAATGGCAAAAGATACAGGAAATTAAAACCCATGTATACTAAGGTTCTGTACAATGAAAATATACAGTCATATGCACTCTGCCCTTTCCCTACCCTTCTTATATACTTCATGTTCTCTTAGACACCTTACAGTTAGCATTCAAACCATAATCAAAATCCTATCATAGGAAACAATGCTAAAACAAGATGTGCATAGAGTTTGTCCACTCCCTACAGTGGCAACTATCATCTATTTGATTTCACTCCATCAGCTCCCCCAAATGTTTGTCTACAATCATTATTTCCCACTACAGCAAGAAAACACAGTCATATGCACTCTATCCTTTTTACTTCCCTTTTTATACACATTCTGTTCTCTTAGACACCTTACAGCTAGAACTCCAACCATAAGCAAAGTCCTATAATAAGAAACAATGCCGAAACTAAATGTGCTTACAGTTTGTATACACCCTACAATCACAGCTACCATCTATTTGATTTCAGTCAGCTGCCTCAAATGTCAATCTAGAATCATTATTCCCACTGTAGCAAGACAACACACAGGTAAGAGTTCTGCATGTAATCAGTGTTGCATGGAGACAGACACAGGAATTGAAATCCAATGCATGTCCAAGAGTCTAGCTTATCAAGATGTGTTGGGTGCTGCCTAACTCAGGGTTCGTAGAGTGAACCAAGCTCGTGAGGGAAGAGGAAACTGAAGGGAAACAGAGAGAGGGGAAGAAAAGGGGATTCAGAGGGAGGGAGAGAGAGAGAGAGAGATTTGTTCAGATGGAATTCCATGGCTCTTTATTTCTTCTTCGGGTTTTTATAGACAGGTAAGTTGTTTACAGTTGCAGTCTGTTACAAGATGGTTACAGCTTGTTGGACTGTTATTCTGTTCTAACAGTCAGCCACTTGGACTACATTCTTGCTGACATGGCTTCTCCCTTTTTTTGTAAACTTGGTAGGCAGGCTGGCTATTCCCGTGCACAGACCCTAGTTTTCCGCAGCTCTTGGTCTTATCAATACCCCCCAGGTTAAGCTGGACCTTGCCCTCAAGGTCAATATGGGGGAACTGGTGTTGCAGTTGTAGATAGGGTTCCCATGTGGCATCCTCTTCCGGTAGTTGTGACCATACAACTAAGGCTTCTGGAACAATGTGGGAGCCTTTTTTGACCCATCTGAAATTAGTGATACGCACCGGCTCTGTTTCTAGGTTCATGTCACTTGAGAATTTTGGAAGATGTGGTTGAGTTATAGCCACTGGTTTCAGGCATTTTTTGAGAACTGAGACATGGAAGACTGGGTGCACATTTGGTGGGAGATCCAATCTGTATGCAAGAGGTCCAATTTTCTCCAAGATCTTGAAGGGTCCAATGTAGCAAGGTGCCAGTTTGTTCCATCTCTGTTTTTGTACAGAAAGCAATTTGTAGAGAAGCAATTTCAAGTAAACCATATCACCAACTTGATAGTGTGCTTCCCTATGGTGTTTATCATATGATTGTTTCTTCCATTGTTGGGCCCGGAGTAGGTTCTGTTTAAGTTCCTATAGAATGCTGTTTCAATTTAGCAGGTGTTCTTCTAGTGAAGCTACTGCTGTGGAGCCCCTTTCATAGGGAATCAGTGCGGGTGGATCACGACCAAATAATGCCCTTAAAGGGATCATCCCAGCCGATATTTGATAGGTAGTGTTGTACCACCATTCAGCCCAATGCAGCCAGCTGAACCATTGTCTCGGCTTTGTTCCGATGAAACATCGTAGATATGTTTCTAAGCAACGATTGACCACCTCCGTTTGCCTATCTGACTGTGGATGGTAGCTTGTGGATTTGCTGAGCTGTACACCTTGGAGGCGAAAAAGTTCTTTCCAAAAGAGGCTGATGAAGACTGGATCTCTGTCAGAAACAATAGACTTTGAGAACCCATGGAGCCGAGCTATTTCCCGCACAAAAGTGTTAGCTACTGTAACTGCAATAAATGGATGTGACAGTGCTAAGAAGTGGCTGTATTTTGCAAGGCAATCAACCACTACTAATATAACTGATTTACCGGCAGAGGTCGGTAGCCCTGTTATAAAATCCATAGAGATATCTTCCCAAACTTGGTTGGGTATGGGTAATGGTTTTAGCAGGCCAGCTGGGAATTGGGCCTCATACTTGCATTGTTGACATACCTGGCATGTAGATATGTATTTCCTTGTGGATTTTAGCATACCCTTCCAATAAAATTGGGACGACATCTCTTATATGTGCGTAGGACTCCCAAGTGTCTACCCATCGGTGTCGCATGGAAGTAATTTATGAGTTGGTCCAAAAGTGCTGAGTCCGCTGGTAACACCATTCTACCTTTATAGTACAGTACTGACCCTTGGATAGAATACCCCGGTTTGTCCCCTGTTTGCTGCAACAATTGTGTCTTTATTGCTTGGAGTTCCTTTCCTTATCACTGCCGACTGCCTCCCTTAGTTGGTCCCACAGTGCTGTCGTGGGTTGTTGGAACACCTACAATTGGAGTATGCTCCCCACTCCATGTTTGGGTTGATGTGACAACGCATCCGCAACCCTATTTGTTGCTCCCGGTTTGTATTCAATAGTGTAATCAAAGCCCATTAACTTTGAGACCAACCGCTGCTGATCTGGAGAAAGGACCCGTTGTTCCAATAGGAATTTCAGAGTTTGGTGATCAGTCTTAATTACAAACTTACGGCCTAGCAGGTAGGAGGGCCAATGCTGACTGCTAATACAACTGCCATCAATTCCTTTGTAGACTGAAGAGTGGTTTTGTGTGATGGATGATGCCTTACTGAAGAAGGCAAGGGGCTGACCATCTTGCATCAGCACTGCTCCCACGCCCAGTCCCGATGCATTGCACTCAACCACAAATGGTTTGTTGAAATCCAGTAAGACTAGAGCTGGTGGGGATGACACCGCTGCTCTTAAGGCTTCAAATGCTACTTGGGTTTTGTTGTCCCAGCTGAATGAGTCCTTCTTTAGAAGGCTATCAATGGGGCTGCAATTATGCCATAGCTTTTAATGAAGCGTCAGTAGTACCCTGTGAGTCCTAGGAATGCCCGGAGTTCCTTGGTGTTACGTGGCGTTGGCCACTGTTGGACGACAGCTATCTTGTCTGGATCTGCTGAGACCCTTTCGTCTTCCACCACATGGCCTAGATAATGTACATGACCATTAGTAGGAGGCGCATCCGGCAATAGTGGGATTCTATGGTCATGATCCCTTGTTGGAGGTAGGTCGTTGGCTCCTTGAAAACTGCAACATATTGATGGAGGATGTTGTGGAGCTGCTGGTTGTATTCAGCTTGAGTTGTTGTATCCTGGGCCTATATGACTTGATCCCCAAATGATGAGCTGATTTGTGTATCATGCTTGTTTCAACATGGATGCCAAGCTTATTGGGCTGGCTCGGCTAGCTAAGTGGCCTTGCAAATGTACTCTAGTCCCTTCTATCATGAAATCCAAAGACAAACAGGCCCAGTCGCAGAGAACAGGCCCAAGTTGCTGCAACCATTGAATTCCCAATACAATGTCAGCCCCACTTAACTCTAGTGGATACAAATCAACCTGAAATTGTTGATCTTGGATGCGTAACCCAGTGTCTGTGCAAATTCCATCGCATTGGAGTGAGGTCCCATTTGCCACATGGACCTTAAATGAGGTTGTGGGCTGAACTGGCAATCCTAATCGTCTAACTACCACAGCGGTTACAAAGTTTAAAGTGCTACCACTGTCAATTAGGATAGACACCTAGCGACCCCGAACTAAACCCGTCACCCTCATGGTTTGGGGTGATGAGAACCATGTYAAGGCCTGTAGCGATAT